AGGCGTTCGATTAGTGGATAGCAGTAATTCGAAAGATGAATTGGATACTGCGACATTGATTTAATCCCCAGACTTGGAATTGGTTTTAACTGGCATGACTAAGTTACTGTTTTAATGAATTGTTTTAATGTTTTAATGTAATTGTTTATTCTTATATGATGATAGCATCATATGGTGTTTATGTGAGGCACCATACGATAAATACATAACACACACATTCTAAACACCTCTTGGGGGGAGAAGGGCGGGGTAAAAGTGAAATAAATTAATAAATATGACAATATCAGTACATGAAATAAATATAAACTTTGTGCGTTCAAGTTTTTTTCCAGCATGCTGGTCTAGTTTTTGATGTGGCTTATACAATGAGGACTGCATACTTCAAAACATGATTCCAAAGCCCCAGCAGAAGTTAAGAAAATAACATCAACTTTTTTTGGTGTCAGGAGCAAATTGAGAAACTGCAAGTCACTTCTTGTGTGAGAGCATTGGCCATCTGAAATGGGACGCCCGTATGTTTTACCATTCTGTGGGAGGCTTCTCTCATGTCCCCACATGAGAAGCTGGAGCTGGCAGACAGGAGCTCACCCTGCTCCACAGATTCGAACTGCCAACCTTCTGGTCAGCAGGTTTCCTGCAGCTAGTGGTTTAACCCGCTGCACTACCACGGTTCCTAATACACATTCTAAACAGATAACACATACATTCTAAAAACCGGATGCTCAAGCCAATATAGCCAGCCTTACAGACTCTCTATCCATTGATTCAATTATTGACAATATTCTCCTCTCCAAGAAAATACTCCTCTCCAAGTTGTTCTGACAATGAAGCAAAATAGATAATACATATCATAGAATCATAGAATCAAAGAGTTGGAAGAGACCTCATGGGCCATCCAGTCCAACCCCTTGCCAAGAAGCAGGAATATTGCATTCAAATCACCCCTGACAGATGGCCATCCAGCCTCTGTGGTGGTACCCATTTTTGGCCAACAAGAAGAGGCAAAATATATCTACTCAGTGAAATTATAAATTTTAAATTTACATTTGTTTTGTATTTTAACCTTGGAACTATGTATTTTATGATATGTATTTTGTAGCAACGTGTTTTAACTGTGTTATAGCCCACCTAGAATCATAGAGTTGGAAGAGACCTCATGCCAAGAAGCAGGAAAAGTGCATTCAAAGCACTCCCGACAGATGGCCATCCAACCTCTGTTTAAAAGCCCCCAAAGGAGGAGCCTCCACCACACACTGGGGCAGAGAGTTCCACTGCTGCACAGCTCTCAAAGTCAGGAAGTTCTTCCTCATGTTCAGATGGAATCTCCTTCCCTGTAGTTTTAAGCTATTGTTTATGGAAACCACATCAGTTCCCTTGCGGAGATAGAGTGGTATTTAAATAAAGTTTTATTATTTTATTATTGTTCCACATCCTAGTCTCCAGGGAGGCGGAAAACATGCTTGCTCCCTTCTCCCCATGACCTCCTAAATATTGATACATAGCCATCAGGTCTCCACTCTGCCTTCTTTTCTGCAGGTTAAACATTGTAGGTGAACTATAAATCCCAGCAACTATAACTCCCAAATAACAAAATCATAATTTTTTGAGTGATGGTCACTCCTTGTGTTGTGAGATGTTTTGCTGCCAAATTTGATGTGATTTCGTTCATTGGTTCTTTTGTTTTTAAGGAACTCATTATGTCTTTAAGCCGCTCCTCATAGGGTTTGTTCTTCGGACCCTTGATCATTTACTACCTCGAGCAATAAAGAGACTGATAACAAATAAAATGCATTATTATTGTCGTTGTTATTCCAAACAGCAAACTTTTGCCATTTTGTATTTTTATATAAAAAATACATATACTTTACTATACTTTATATACTTTACTACGCAATGGGACTTGAGCAACCACAATTTTGGAATCCCTTTGAGTTGCAATACTTAGATAAAAGGGGGGGGGATAGAAATTAATATAAAAATAATAAATAATAATAGGGTATTGTCCTTTTTGAAATGTTAACTTTTAAAATACTTGACTTTTTAAAAAAGGGGGAAAGAGATTCTGAGAAATTCAAATATTCCAAGAAAGAGATTTCTTTCTGTAAGCCGCCCTTGTTGTAATTATAGCCTGAACTTGTTCACAAGCTCAGAATATCAGACACTGGTTTTAGAAACATCCTGTGGTCGATGTACTTAAAACCTTGATGCCTTTTCAAACCCACTCTTTCTTCTCTCTCTCTCTCTCTTTCTTCCACTCTTTCGGAGTACAGTATATTTTTGAACAGCTATTGTTGTGAACGGAAAGAGACATTAAAAAAGAGCACACTCGCAGAAATACAAAGAGGGGGACATGGCTCACAATCCTGGACACTGTTGGCACAATAATTAAAAACACGTTACAAAGCCAAACCAGAAAGAGAATAGAGCAACACAAGTGTGGTCTCCTAGGCAGCCAAGCTGAGAAAAACTGGAGTTGTATAACACAGAGTTCTTTGGACTGGGACCAGGAAAGCCTGAGTTCAAATATCTCCTCAATTATGAAGCTCATAAAACTCAGCCAAACTTGCCTCACGGGAATTTAGTTATAAAAAGACAAAATGGGATGAACCCGTGTGCATCATCCCTAAGCTGCTAACAGCCGGGACAAAGTAAGTCTCGCCTTCCAGATGTGTCTGGACTCCAACCCTTGTCTACTCCAGCCATAAAGTATAGCCTACAAGTGATTCCTCACCTCTATTTTGGACTTCAGCTCTCAGAATTCCTATCTATCATACTAGTTTGGGGCTTTTGAGTTTTATGGCCCCAAACATCTGGACAGCCAAAGCTTGAGAACCACTGCTTCAGAGGAACACTGCATTCCAGAAGAGGAACATTTCACATCACAAAGGTCACATTATATTGGGGAAATATTGGGTTACTGAGGAATTTCAAGAGATCTGACATCTGGACAGGGGGTGGCAAACGCAATGCAATGGAGTCTTGTTCTGGAAATAATATTTCTGGGCTGCACTATATGTATGTTTGTGTGCCTTCAAATCACCCATCGATCGACATATGGCAACCCTATGAATTCCACTTTCTTTTCTCAGGAAAGGGAAAACTGTCAACCCTCCAAATCTGGCGTCTGGATCCCGACAGCTATACCTTGTGAAAGCTTAAATGACCTCTTGCAGAACAACAACAACGACAACAATAACTTTATTTTTGAACCCTGCCTCCATTTTCCTGAAAGGACTCAGGGCGGCTTACATATGGCCTAAAACAACACATAAAATAAACACACAGTACAATACAAAATAAAACCAATCTATGTAAATAAAAATGTAATGTTGTCCCACCCTGGTCATTCCACAGATATATAAACCAATTTTCCTAGTTCCCACAGACCTCACTACCTCTGAGGATGCTTGCCATAGATGCAGGCGAAACGTCAGGAGAGAATGCCTCTAGAACATGGCCATATAGCCCGAAAAAAACCTACAACAACCCAATGTAATGTTCATTTGTGGGATTAACATAACTCGAAAACCACTGGACCTATTGACACCAAACTTGGACACAATACACCTATCAGACCAACAAATGACCATCACTCATAAAAACACTGAAAAACACAGCAGAAGAGACTTAAAAAGCCAAAAAACAAAAAAATGCATTACAAATTATGCGCAAACCACATATACACAAATATATACACACACAAAACACATATATACAGCAAAGTGTGGCAGGGGACAGTTAGTATCATATAAAACAATAATTTAAACTCAAAACATAATTTGAACTCAAAAGCCCAATAACCTATGGTGAGAACTGTCGTAAACAAGAACAAGGGAATGGGATAGTGCAAGTTGTAGTTAATGAGCAAGGGCATGGGACGAAAGAAACCTAGGTCTCTGGTGCTAGAACTTTTGGTCTTGTTCTCTTGCCACCGTCACCATCATCACCATCATCATCATCACCATCATCATTTACTCGTACCCTACTTTTCTCCCAGGCCTGGGACCCAAAGCGGTTCACAAACTTAAAAACAACACACTTTAGAAACTTATAATCCTAAAAACTATACGATTTAAAAACCCACAACGTTAAAAACTATACAATGTAAAGACTTTTTCTCCCAGTATTGGGACCCAAAGCATCTCACAACCTTAAAAACTATACAGTTTGAATAGTATACAATTTAAGTAGAGTTTAAAACAGAACTAGCCATTCCTAAAACCAAAATGTAGCCCATCTCCCACTACTTATAGTTTAAGTCCATGACCAGAGCCTACCTGGGACCAGTGATATAAACACTTCTCTCTTCTAAACTTTCTGACACTGAAATTATTTTACTGCAAATTCATTAAGAAGCAGTAACAGTACTCTTAAGGTTATGAGTTTGCTTTCTCCATAAGGCCAGAGTTTACACATTACAATTTCAGCAGGGGTTTTTTGTTTTTCTTTTCAGAGGAATCCTGCTGTGAGCTTTGAAACCTCTGTTGTTTATTTGTGGTTGCCAGTTCTTAGAAATGTTACCAATTTACTGAAGTAGCAGCAAGATCAGAGTTCCCCTCCAGTGTAAAGAAAAAGAGCTAACTGCCCTTTCTATCCTACTACAGCTATCTGTCATTGCACAGAAGTGCATTAACAGTAAACCTAGCAATCATAGAAATGTCTATATGCTACAACTGCCAGCAGCCTAGCCAATGCTGGTAACAACAAGGAATGCTGGGTTTTGCAGTCCAACAACAACATCTGGTGGGCCACATGACTTCCGACAAATGGAATACAGGAACAGCATGAGTAATAAAGCATTCAAGCCATTGAATATTAGTGTTCTACTATTTCACTGGGTTACTGGAGTACAGTTCAGTGGTTTCATCCTTTTTTGTGAAATTTGCACAGCATTTCTATATTGCATAATGCCCAACGTGCACTCCTCTAAAATGCAAACGGGGGGGGGGGGGGGGGAGATTTATGGTATTTCTCCAGATATGGGAGAAAAAGGCACTTACCTCGTTTGTGGAGCCAGCCTTCCTTCACTATTGCTACTTCATTCATAATGGCGAAAATGTCTCTTCAGAAAGCGTTCAATGACTACAGATCACTCCTTGATCCCCACAGAAAGTAGTTCTTCTCCCCTTCCTCCTCCTTCCCCTTTTTCAGCTCCTCCTAATGAGAAAGAAATGGAGAAAGAAGGACAACACTTAACAACTTTACAGGTAGCATTAGATTCAGTTATAGCTGAAGTTCTTTTGGTATTTGAGATACCGCTACGACCACACAAATGCAGAGAGCAAGACTATAAAGAAAAAATATAATTATTTGGGGATTTCAGAAGGTTGAAATAGTTTTAATTGTACAAGCTGCATCACAAAGAGAGACTGCTTTATTGAGAACCAGATCTAGATCAGTGGTTCTCAACCTGATCTACATCTTTACCAGCTGGGAGGCTTTCTGGGAGTTGAAGGCCAAAACATCTGGGGATCCACAGGTTGAAAACCACTGTTCTAGATAAGTCTCTCCAGTAAAAATCTTTAAATCACGTATTTGAATACTGACAAGCCAAATGATGGTCATAACATATGGCAAGAATTCCCAACATTTGCAACCACATGAACCTGAAGATACAGTGATTGAATCTTCTGTAAGAAAACGTGTCTTGGGTGAGCAAAGTTTAACTTTTAAGACTGCATACAGCCTGTGTAAACACTTGGGGCTCTCCAGAAAACCACGCTGAACCACCCTTTGTCTGGATCCAAAACAAGGAGCCAGTTTCCTCTCTTGGAAACCTTCAGAGAAGCTATTTTAGAAGAAGCCAATCCTCTCTTAATTAACTTGCAGACCCTTCTTGCACTGCTCAAATATTTTTGGATTTCAGAATCCCAGATATGGGATGATCAACCTGAACTATGATTCCACGTGGACAATTATGGCAATGTCCTACAGAATCCCAGAATTTACAGTTTTGGAGAAGATATTGGATTAGACGGCTCTTGTGGTTTCTTCCAACTCTATGATTCTATGTATTGTCGAAGGCTTTCATGGCCAGAATCACTCTGGGTTGCTGTAAGCTTTTGGGGTTATATGGCCATGTTCCAGAAGCCTTCTCTCCTGATGTTTCGTCTGCATCTATGGCAGGCATTCTCAGAGGTTGTGAGGTCTGTGAGGACCTCAACACCTCTGAGGATGCCTGCCATAGATGCAGGTGAAACGTCAGAAGAGAAGGCTTCTGGAACATGGCCATACAGCCCAAAAATCTTACAGCAACTCTGTGATTCTATATTTATAATTCCCTGCCAGATATCTCTAGCCCAGGGATCCTCAAACAAGAGGGCCGGATATGGCCCTCCAAGGTCATTTACCCAGCCCTCGCTCAGGGTCAACCTAAGTCTGAAACGACTTGAAAGCACACAACAACAATCCTATCTCATCAGCCAAAAGCAGGTCCACACTTCCCATTGAAATACTAATAAGTTTATATTTGTTAAAATTATTCTTCATTTTAATTATTGTATTCTTTTAAGTGTTTTTTTGCACTACAAGTAAGATATGTGCCATGTGCATAGGAATTCATTCATGCTTTTTTCAAATTATAATCCTGCCCTCCAACAGTTTGAGGGACCGTGACCTGGCTGCTGTTTTAAAAGTTTGAGGACCCCTGCTCTAGCTCTTCTTCAAACTACAAATCCCCCTAGGATTTCACAGGTTGGAGCCATGGCAGCTAAAGTGGAATCATAGTGGTATACATAGAATCATAGAGTTGGAAGAGACCTTTTGGGCCATCCAGTCCCCAGTCCAACCCCTTCCATAGACAGTATAAAAGAGAACTGGTTCCAACATTCAAATGACCGTATGCAAGACTTATGTGATGAACTTCCATAGCTGTTGTCAATTTAAGATCTTATCCAAAAAGCTCCGTATTATGAAACTACTGAAATTGGCTTCACCTGAAAACTGAATTTTGAGCTAACTCACCTGCCATCCCAAGTTAGGCAAATACCAAGTTATGAGTCACTTGGTAAACAAGCACATCAGGACTTAAGCAGAGAGCTGCCTGGACTCTGCTCCAAAGCAGCATGGTACATGCAGATTAGAAAGGCACATGTTTACTTTTAGTACATTCCACCCACCCATCCAGCTTCCTAGAGCCACATACTCAAAAAAAAATGCCTTGTTCTGGCATAAATTGAGGGGTAGAACCCAAGAGGAGGAAAAAAAAGACATAGAAGACCAAAGGCAGAAGACAGGTTTGGAAAACATTTGGTTTATGGAGAAGGGATCCCTGACAATTCTATGATAATGTAATTTGACTTCTGTGCCATGAACTAGATTATGAAATCTGTATACAAATATTCAAACCCCACAAATCTTAGATACATTGCGCAATTCTTCTACACTCTCTACCATTTCTGGCTTGAGATTCTCTAAGCAAATTGCCCTAAGTGTGAAGTGTTAACACAGGACAGGCCACATCAAAATTCTGTTCTTCTTCCATATTTTCAGCCTTCTAAGTCACAGAGATCCAATGACCAAATGAAAGAACGTCTTCTCTAGAAGCACAAACGCTATCATAGAATCATAGAGTTGGAAGAGACCTCATGGGCCATCCAGTCCAACCCCCTGCCAAGAAGCAAGAATATTGCATTCAAAGCACCCCTGACAGATGGCCATCCAGCCTCTGTTTAAAAGCTTCCAAAGAAGGAGCCTCCACCATAGATGCAGGCGCAACATCAGGAGAGAATGCCTCTAGAACATGGCCATACAGCCCCAAAAAACCTACAACAACCCATATTAATTTCTATCACACTTTAAACTGCTCTGTTTAAAGGGATAAGCTTAGTAAAAAGGGCTGGTATTTGCTGGTATTCATACTTTCACTATTGTCTGCCTCCAAAATCCTGTCCTCCGTGGAAAAGCTGTCTTCATAAATTCAGATGGCATGAACTTCTAACCAAAGTTATGAAATGCTTGAGTAATAATAGTCCCATTCACTACCAGGAGACCTACTGGCAAGATCTCGGCAGGGACAGCAATAATAGACTGAACTGTCTTCAATGTTGTTAAAAGTTATTAAGTCTGCTAAGCGGTGGTCCTAAACATACAGGTGAGCCTTATTTTTCCTGTATTATACCTGGAGGGCTCAGGCCAAGAAGCACTAACTGGCTTACCTAAAATCACATGATGAAGTGAAACCAAAGGGGAAATATAGTATGGGGATTTTCCAAAACAAGAGACTTAACATTCATAGAATCATAGAATCAAAGAGTTGGAAGAGGCCTCATGGGCCATCCAGTCCAACCCCCTGCCGAGCAGCAGGAATATTGCATTCAAATCATCCCTGACAGATGGCCATCCAGCCTCTGTTTAAAAGCTTCAAAAGAAGGAGCCTCCACCACACTCCGGGGCAGAGAGTTCCACTGCTGAACGGCTCTCACAGTCAGGAAGTTCTTCCTCATGTTCAGATGGAATCTCCTCTCTTGTAGTTTGAAGCCATTGTTCCGCCCTAGTCTCCAGGGAAGCAGAAAACAAGCTTGCTCCCTCCTCCCTGTGGCTTCCTATCACATATTTATACATGGCTATCATATCTCCTCTCAGCCTTCTCTTTCAGGCTAAACATGCCCAGCTCCTTAAGCCGCTCCTCATAGGGCTTGTTCTCCAGACCCTTGATCATTTTAGTCGCCCTCCTCTGGACACATTCCAGCTTGTCAATATCTCTCTTGAATTGTGGTGCCCAGAATTGGACACAATATTCCAGGTGTGGTCTAACCAAAGCAGAATAGAGGGGTAGCATTACTTCCCTGGACCTAGACACTATGCTCCTATTGATGCAGGCCAAAATCCCATTGGCTTTTTTTGCCGCCACATCACATTGTTGGCTCATGTTTAACTTGTTGTCCACGAGGACTCCAAGATCTTTTTCACACGTACTGCTCTCGAGGCAGGCATTGTCCCCCATTCTGTATCTTTGCATTTCGTTTTTTTCTGCCAAAGTGGAGTATCTTGCATTTGTCACTGTTGAACTTCATTTTGTTAGTTTTGGCCCATCTCTCTAATCTGTCAAGATCGTTTTGAATCCTGCTCCTGTCCTCTGGAGTATTGGCTATCCCTCCCAATTTGGTGTCGTCTGCAAACTTGGCGATCATGCCTTCTAACCCTTCATCTAAGTCATTAATAAAGATGTTGAACAGGACCGGGCCCAGGACAGAACCCTGCGACACTCCGCCGCCACTTCTTTCCAGGATGAAGAGGAAGCATTGCTGAGCATCCTCTGAGTTTGTCCATTTAACCAACTACAGATCCACCTCACCATAGTTTTGCCTAGCCCACATTGGACTAGTTTGTTTGCCAGTCCAATGTGGGCTAGGCAAAACTATGGTGAGACTTAACATTGTACTAGAAGAGAACACTTATAGTAATGTAGCAGCAAAAAAAAAATGGTTGATAGGTTTGAAATAACTTCAGATTTTATAAGACAAACTTCAAAGAGGCATAGAAGAGCATCTCTCTTGTGAAGGAGACAATCCAAAAGTGATTGCACTACTTGGTAGAAAGACAAGAGTCATTTTAAGAAACATTATGTGATAGAAAGCGGATTCTTTCCCCATAGTTACTACTTTAGAAATCTAAAGAAACCACACAACATGACACAAAACACATCTCAACACCTTAGCAACAATAATTCCTGGCTGTAACTTCTTTCCATAAAAGGAAACTTCCCAACCGGTGCTTGTTAGCACAAGTGAATGCAAATGAATGTAAATCCACTAAGGAAAAGAACCAAGTCTGTTTTCAAGAATTGTATGAGTACACACCCCAAACAAAGCACGAAATTCCAAGCTGCGGGATTTCCCAAATGTTAATAGTGCAAAACATTTATTTCACTCACTGCATCATTTCTTTAAACAAATACCAAATTGCTATGGAGACTCAAAGTAGATTAATTGGATTTTCATGTCAGAAGTTTATCTGTAACTTGAAATGCTTTTAGTCTTTATATGAGCTCGATAACAACTTCGGTTAGTGTATCTTCTGTACTTTAAATTTTTTAAAGTATTTTGTTCTGTATACTATTTTGGATCTTTGTCATGGCCTTTGACTAGCATAATAACTGCAACGTGCTCTACATGGGATTGCCTTTGAAGACTGTTTGGAAGCTTCAAGTGGTTCCA